CACACACACACACACACAACCTTAGTTATATAAGACATCATGCAGCTTACAGACAATCCCCGACTTCGCAAGGAAAGGCAAATCAAGCATCTTGGGTTTGAGTTTGATAGCACTAGAAAAAACCCCATTGTATTGTGTTTATTGTTACGATTGTTATGAACACTTGCAGTCTATCTAGCATATAATACTGACCTCAGAAACATGCACAAACATGTTGCCCTGGTGCACGCTGGTAGGCTTTCCACTGCACCCACTCTCCTCAGATGCTAAAATTATTTAGAATTTACAATTTTCTAATTCATTTGGACATATTTACATCATTTGGTACACAGTTTCTGAACAAAAACATGCCAGATTAGTCATTTGTGCCTTATAAATAAGATTCCTCCTGTCCCGTGATATTTTCTCTTCCATCTGGAGTTTTAACGCACTCACTGTCACCTGCCTGTAACCTCTCTCAAATATTGTGCTGTATTCAAATTTGTTCAGCTGGTGTTACAAAGAGACCTACAGCCACCACCCAGTGCATCTTCCTTTGCTTTTAAACTCCTGAACCAGACGTCACCAGACATGCTGGATATGATTTACTGGGCAAGTCTCTGTCTTGCTCAGGATGTTCCCAAAATAGATGCGCCGTCTTTTTTCTCTATTGTTTACGACTCACCTAACCGGTTTAATATGCATCTATTCTAGGAAAGAGGCGACTTATCTTCCTCTGTGAAGGCCAAAAAAGAAACAAGCCATCTTACATTAAGGCTTAAGCTCGATTTCCTGTGTAAACACAAAACATATGTATTGTTTAATCAACAGAAAGAATCACAATAGCAAGAGGAAGCCGAAGAAGCCAAAGAAGACAGAAAAAATACAACAAACAGAACGACATTCTCAACATTTTACAGATGCAGCTTGTCTATCATCCACTCCCTTTACCTCTCAGGCATTAAAGAGGAAACATCACCTGAGAAGAATCCTTTCCAATAAATTGGGAGTGTAAAATTATTATTTAATCCTGTTCTCAATAACATAAGTTCAGGCCAGATCACCCTGCTCTGAATAAACAAAGAAAGGTCGTTGATAGAGGATCTAGGAGGACATACACTATTCGCATTTGTAGTGATAATTTACATATACGTGAAGGGAAAAACTTCATAATAACCTCTCACAGATTCAGACTTATATAAGCTGATTTAAATTGATAATATCTAAAATAACTGAAGTTTTAACATGAAACTGTGGTAAAAAGGTAAGTTCTTAGGAAGGAGTTCTCAAAACATGCACGACTCATTGAAAACAACATTTTATATAATTTGTTCCATATGTTATATAATGCATACCAACTAATTAAAATCTATAAGTTTATAATGGTCACGCTCTTCCCTCACATGAATAAAGGTGAAGGGCGACCTCTGGTGGAAATTGTCATGAACATCAAGAGGTTCATACTCAGAATAAATGGCAACATAAGACCTGACTACCACAACTATAAAAGGCAACGTTACCCTAAGATAATATATATATTTTTGCACCTAGACAGCAGTGACTGAGGTTATCCTGAACCCAATATTATACCACATATGATCTCCTTATTCCAGTAATTTCCTTCATCTTTCGATCAATCAATTAGTACTTAAAGTGCTTAAATGAATAATATATTTTATCATAAGCAAACAACTTTATAACAAACTTGAATGAATACCATGAATGAAACCAAAATTGAATTAACAACATGACACTTTAACTTGTCAAACACAAGTGTAACTGATGTTATCGGCTGCATTTAAAATAATTTGCTGGAACAGAGCCATTGTTAATGTTATTAGTTTCACCTGTGCTGTTCATATGACAAGTTTTAAAAGGCTATCAATCACTGGATATGGCAGAAGAAACACTGGGAATCACTGATCTAGCTTGTGTTTATGTTTCACTATTAAAGTTAATATTTGTGTGTGTGTTTGTGTACTCAAACTACTTAAACGGATCAGTGGGAGCTCATAGATGATGTAAGATTAACTATTTGGAAATCAACTAAAAACATGTCCAGCTATAACCTTCAGAGCATGCTTGTAAGACAAGCCTCTTATGCTGAAGTGCATTATTTCTGGGGCAAAAACATACCAGATTAGAGTCATTTGTGCCTTATAAATACTTAATTGATTTGGTGAAGTGCAGGTCAAGAAGGCAGGTTAAAAAAAGAACTAAATTTGATTAAAGTGAATGTTTTTTTCATCTAGAATACACATAACAGCTGAAACATTGGTTATATGTAACCTAGACATCATTTGTTTGGTATGTTGACCTGTTTTGTTGATAACCCCTAAAAACTCTACCACTACACTTTAAGCTCCCCCAATTTTGATAATGGTTTTATAAATAAGTAGTCTTGCGCTTCCAATTTCCAAGATATAGATATAATTATGTTTTTAAGCTGATTCTAGGACAGAGGAGAATGAAATAAGAGAGAAATTCAGAGACACAGTGTATCATGGAAACACTTTAAAGACCAAGATTAATTTATATTGTTTTATCCTTTTAATTAAGAAATATTTTAATACACAAACGTGGGCAGAATGCAGCATCAAAGTCTTAAAATGTACATATATAAACAATACAAATAAGATTACTCTATAGAGGCTGGACTGAGGATCTGCTCTTCAGTCGGAGACCCAAAAACACTTGCTATCATCATCTTCATGAAGCAGGGACACTACAGTCACGACAACACCAGACCTGGTTAAAATAAGTTAAAAATACAACGCTGAGTTTACAGAATATGGTAAGGATCGGTTTAGTATTATTCTAGCTTGGAAACATTACATCTACCCCAACAGCTGGTGGTGCTAATGTACAAATCTCACCCAACCCACCACATACAACAACTATCCTCACCTCTACACGGTATTATGTGCCTCCCACACCTTGTTGTCTGCAATAGTTCTTTTGCTATAAAAGGCAGGTATAAAATCTGAAGATTACAATGCATTCAGAATAACAACAGAACAATATATATTTTTTATGTATTCTTCTAAAAAGGTCACATGTATTTATTTTTTAAGACCAGAGAGAGAATGAATTATCCCACTAACATGGCTGCACAATGAAAGACGTGTGTGTGTGTGATGGTGGGATAGGATGATGTGTGATGCCCCCTGTACTTGAGCTAAAAGCATACTGATGAACAAATGCTTGCAGGTAACATTTACCATTTATATATTACTTTAGCCTGTTAGCCTGCTAGTATTTGCCAATTAGCACGTAACACAAAGTACAGCCCAGGCTCATGGGAATGTTATTAGTTTTGCAGGTATTTGGTCATAAATGAAATTAAATGTTGACATCAAAGACATTGGGATTCATCCTCTAGGAACCATAAATGTCTTCACAACATTTCATGGCAATCCATATAATAGTTGTTCAGATATTTCAGTCACAAAAGCCCATTTTCTATTATTTGAGGATTTAAGGGGAATTTCCTCCCAAGGTAAGCACCCCTAATGTGTGACAACAAAGGTAGATTATCAACATGATGTTAAAATTTGTCACTCCAACAGTTCTTCAGTCAGAACAACTGATTCAAGCGTCTCATCAGTGCGGCCTGCAGAGGGTATAATTCTGTGGTATTTCATCTCCTTATGGGTCCAAGTGACCGTGTCTAGCAGCTGTTTGAATCTCTTCCCACCTGTCCTTTCTAGCTAAATTTAATTTAATATTTTAAGGGAGAAGAGAGGGATGCAAAGGCAGAGAAGATGGAGGTGAGGTAGATGGGGGAGGATGAATCAAGGCCACTGGAGGATGAGGAGGAGTCAAGGTTACTTTGGATAGGGAAGACAAAAGTTCACTAGTCTGCTGACATACAAACTTTGAATTACTTTTTTTGTAATCTAGATATAAAAGTATAATACAGTGGATCGGGAACAGGTCACATCTATGGGTAAAGATAACTCCATAAAATGACTATTTTACAATTATTAGACAGCTGACGGTGGAGAGAAACAGCGATACATGGGACAAAGAACCTGTATTCAAATGCACGTTACCATAGTTAAAATATATGTGTGTGTTTGACTGTCAAAAATAAGTTGGTGTTCTTGTAAAATAGTTCTTAATGCAGGTCAGTGATTAGCCTGTGTGATTTGTTGTTCTTGCTTTGGTGGCAAACACAACTACATCACTTAAACTGAGGCAAATTCAGCCTTACAAAAGACTAACGTGTGTCTAATCCTTCTGCTGCTCCAGGATCATATCAGACAGCACATTGATGTCCGTCTCTGCTGGGTGGCACTGCAGAACCAGCGCCACCATGTTGTCCTGACCTGCAAAAACTTGACAGAGCTGCTCTCTAAGTCTGGCCGTTTCCTCTGAGCTCCTCTCTGCCCCCGAAGCTCCAAACGACTTGTGCTGGTGTCCCCCGTCCCATCCTTTCCCATGTCCTCTACCTTTACCCCGGCTCCCTCCGCGTCCCACATCCAGGGCTCCACCCAGTGTTCGGTCACGGAAGTTCAGTACCTCCGTTTGGGAGCGTGGAGGTTTGGAGGAAGGGAAAGTGGTGGCTACGCAGGCAAAAGAGTGGTTTCCTGGGTCAGGAGTCCTGAGAGGGAATAAATACTTAATTTAGAGGATTATATACAGTTATTTCCTCACGGTATGCTAAATTGCTGTGTGTCTATCTGTAGCATGTGTGGTTATTAATACCTGTGCTCTGAGCGTAGGAAGTCATCCAGGTGAGGCCCTCCCCTGCCCAGAGGGTCGTCCGGCACCATGAAGTGATCCCCAACAAACGTGTACTGAAGAAGTCTGGGGAGGAAACAAGAGAGCATACCAATGTATATAGTGGACTAGACCTTCTAAAGCAGTTGTTTTCATACAGGAAAATAAAAGGTGAAAAATAAAATATTATACAAATTGCAAAGCAAATTAAACATGGAAAACACCCCTGATTGGGTTGCTCTGTATTTCTTACATTTCCAACTGCAAATGAGCACAATATGAAATATAAAAATGACTGATTTTAGAGCTAAAACAATTATTGCTGGTAGATCTAACCTATAAACCTAATTCAACTTGCAGTAAGGCTATGGAAGCGGTCACATTCGAGTGATGTGCAGTCTGTTTATACCTCTTTTTGATGATGTCCCTCCATACAAGGGACTCATCTGAAAGGTCTCTCAGGTTGTCGTTGGTTACGATGACTCCATCCGTCTTCTGTGCAAGCTGCAGCATGAGTCTGTGGAAGCAGGTGAAAAGAGGAATGAAAGATTTATAATATATATATAAACTATTAAAAAAATCTATTTGTGAGGTTTAATTGGCAGTAGCTTTAAAAAGTTGCCCTCTGATGTCACATTTTTAGTATGAAAAGGTAAAAATATGTTTGTAATCTAACTGTTACAACAGTATAATACATGTATGTAGAACTAGTGAAACGTGGTATGGATTTGGAACACAACTATACTGTACTGTAGACATGCATGCAATTTTCATTAGGATTTTTACATGTTTTTATAACTAATAAATTATGCTATCAATGGTTTGTAATTTGCTTTAGTATCATCCTGTAAAAATTATGAATTTAGTTATTTATCTTGAGTTCTTTATCAGCACCATCCTCTCTCACATTCACAACTACAGCTGCCCTCTGTTGAACATGTAACCGCTTAAATGGAGCAGTACGATCGGCAGCACATTGACAGTAGATGAGGGAGATGAGAGTGTTTCTAATTCACTTTCACACACATTTTACCAGGCAGTGAGTGAAACCAGTGACACGTCCTTCCCTCATTTCTAGTCAAATTGTATTTATAAAGCCCAAAATCCTTAGACCCTCGATTCGGGTAAGAAAAAACACCCTTTGAATGGGGAAAAAAAGGAAGAAACCTCAGGAGGAGCCCCTGAGCCACCCTCTTCCAGGACAGATTGACATGCAATAGATGTCGTATTTATGATGACAATTTCTGATACATTAAGACTATAAACTATATGTGTAGAATGTAGATCCAAAAGAGGGATGGTGAACAACTTCAGCTGTTGCAGAGCGAGATATACAACCTCTAGGGCCTCTGTTGGCACCTGCTATAACAACACAGACACAATACTTTTTTAAGCAGCAGAGCAATAAAAAAGTCTGTCTACCTGTCGTCGTACGAGCTGATCCTCTTGCCCTGAACCTCTCTGGAAGGGGTGTAGGAGACCAGGCCCAGCTTCTGCAGCTCACCTAGATAGTGTTGCTCTGAGAGGCAGGAACAAAAAACACTAAGTTTAGTCTGCCCTAAAGGGAAAAACACACGCCCACACACTCACATGTTTGCCAAAGTCTCATTGGTTTTCCCCTCAACATGTGACTCAGTATCAAATATACATGCATGGAAGTGCAGAGGCCTTTGTCATTTTAAAACCACACACTGCATTTGACGACTTGTAACTGAGGCACAAAGAACGATACAGGAAACTGTTTTTCTGCCCATTTAAAATGTTTAAATGCTTGAGGATTAAAGAAAATGACATGCTAATGTTTCCAATAACATGCCATACATCACTAGTTACTGTAATGAGTTTGCCTGTTTTATATTCTTTTCTATAAACCTGATATTCTTTACATTACATGTATATTACAGTATTTAAAATATACATCAGGGTGCGCTGTAGTTAACAGGATAAACACAATGTGCTAAGTGCATGCACATAAATAAGAAATACAAAATAACTGATGATAATTAATAGTTTCAGACATTTTTAAGTACAAATACCAATAATTCCCTTCCAGCGTCTCAACTCTCTCATCATGTAACGATTTGTCTTATGTGATTGTAAATTGATCATTTTGTGGTTTTGGCTGTTGATCAGACAAAAAATAAAAACATTTGAAGACATCAACAAGGAAATTTTACAGACTAAATAGCTTACTGTAATCAAGAAAATTATCAGTGGATTAATCAGTAATGACACTAATCGTAAAAGTGTGCACACCTTGCAAACTGTTGTAAAACATTTAGTTTCCCTAATAGAGATAAGTCAAGAGTTACCTTTGATCTTGGGGTCGCTCTTCTGTCTCCACTGTGGCAGGAGGGCGCTGATGTGACGATGGCCTCGGTCCCAAAAGTGCTGAACGGCAAGAGCGATCCCGCGACAGGAGAAGAAATGACCCAACCCGTGACTGTGGAAAACATGGAACAGCAGAGTTTTACGACAAAATCAGACATCAACTAAGATGGAACGTACTTTTACATAATTTTTCATTACGATAAATTATATTATGAACCTAAATTTATATTCTAACAGTTGTAAAAGGCATTCCCTTAGTTAACTCCCTTACTGTACAATAAGTGTAGCTCTTTAACCAGCAACCAAAAACTATACTACAATACTGACAGCACAGACCAAACTGTATGGTGATATCTGGACACACAGAAATACCACTACCACATTAAATTGACCACTATCAAGTTGAATTTAAGATTGTAAATCCACTCTTCTACTATAACATCATCAGTATCAAGAGAATCCAATAAAGTTTGTAGAGAATTAAAGGTAGCATGTGGAGTTTTGACCCCTAGTTGTGCTACGGAACACTGTTTTTTGTTTGTACGAGGACGCACATGCATCCATTTCACGCTTTTATGCTTCACTAACAGCTCACGACAGCAACACGCAAAGAAACCAAGCAATGCAGAGAAGAAGAGGACACGGATGTAAACAATGCAGGATTTATATTATTTGAAAAATCGGCTTTGCAAATGTTTTATGAGGAGTTGTTTAATAGACAGTTTTGGTGAGAAGCACTGAATATAAACTTTGTTTACAAGGAAACTCCACTGGACACCTTTAACACATTTTAAATGGCATATTATACCACTTTTATTGCGTTTTTAAAATAAATATAGTTACCAAGAGAACAAGAGAGAACCAACTCTGGAGTAAAAATGTCAGAACAATTCCTCAAAGAGCAAATGGGAAACACACAACCTAAATGTCCTAGCATATAATTAAAATATACACATTAAAGAATGTCTTCCCACCTCATGGCCACGTTGCTCCCATCAATGATGATTGTCCTCAGTTTCGGGTCTCCGGGCTTGTCTGTTAGCTGAAGGTCAAAAGGCATCTGCAGGCCTTCCAGAAAACGCTGCTCCCCTGTCACCACCACGGAAGAGGCCGCCATGAAGTCACGTTTTTCCCTCCCCCTGGTGGGAGACAAGTCTTTCCCTGTGAAGATGGGGGGTTGTGGGGCTTGGAGTGCTCGTTTTAAGGAGTTAGAAGACTGGGACTTTGGGTTTAAGATGTCGTCTTTGGTTGGATGATTTTGTTTTGAGGTGGTGGGATTAGGCCAGTTGCTGCCATATTGTTTGTTGGACTGGAAATTGGTGTGTGGGGGATCTAAGGATGAGGAATAAGTAGACATGGGTGGGCCTTTGACTTCAGGAATGTGTGGAGTTTGTGACTTGGAAGGCTGGTGTCGCTTTGGCTGTGTATTAATCCAAGTAAACAAATCTGGCTCTGGGACAGGTACATTTGGGTTTTGCACTACTACCCATCCTTTATCATCGGATTCCCTGTTTTCTGCAGGTATGAAAAGCTCAATTTCTCCTCTTGCTTTGTCATCTGCTGGTCCAGCTTTTGGTCCTCCTTTCTCCAGCACCACATCGTCCATCTCTCTCGGTCCCTCCCTGAAGCCGTCCATCTCTTTGCCACCCTCTCTCTGCAGCTCCAGGAGCAGCTGGTGAGTGGATCGATCAGGCAACATGTTGTAGACTTTGGTCACGTTCTGCTCCATGTACCCGCAGCTGGCTGCAGCTTTCTTCAACACTCCCAAGACAAAGTCTTCCTCCTGCCCTTCCTCCTTTACCTCAGCACTACCTTCTCCCTTTAAGTGTCTTGTGCTTCCTGTCGCTCCGTCCTCCTCTTTCTGGCAAACATCTCCCACCTCTCCATTATTACTTATCACCTTATCTCCTCCTGCTGCTGTTTCTTCATCTTCTCTGTGCTCCGTCTCGCACGGTCGGTTCCTCTCGCTTTGATTCAAGGCAATACCGTCCTGATTCTTCTGGTCCTGGCCACCCTGATTTGTCTGCTCTCTGTCACTGCGATCCTGCTCCTGTTGAACCAAGTCCAGTATCTGCGAGGCTTCTTTAGGCCCCGTTTGGGCAAGGACTCGTTTCACGACGTCCTCTGTGTACCCCATGGCTGTGAAAAACTTCAAAAGAAGCAAAAACTGCAGCTCCTTGTCTCCGTCCTCTCCTAGTCTCTGTGTCACTCTGTTACCTAATGCTGCTGCTTGCTCCAGCTGCTCCTCTTCTCCCACCTCCTGTGGAGAATGCATGAGTCTTTCCTCAGCACCCTCTGCTCTCCCTCTAGCGCCTGCAGACGTGGACAAAGGCTGGAAGAAGGAATCGTTGGCTGCAGAGTCTTCCACAGATTCTGCAGTCGTCCCTTCAACCCACCGGTCAGTAGTGCTGTCCCATCTACCTTCTGAATCCCCACGCGGTCTCGCCGCTGCATTTCCATCGGTGAGTTCTGGGCTGGGGCTCGACCCAAGCCCTGATTCTTTCACCAAATCCAGCAGGATTTCCTTCACTGACCATGGTAGTACCAGCAGATCCAGGATATGTCTGTCCTCCCATTTCTCCACCAGAGTTTTGAAGGCCCGGCGTGAATCCAGAGACTCGCCCAAGCCTCTGTCCATGTTCTCAGAGCGTCTGGACAGTGTGCCCTCACACCTCTCCACCAGGTCTGTGATAAGGGAGTAGGCTCGCACCACCGGCTCTGCAAGACCTGATATGAGCAGGAATCCCGTAGAGCCAACCTGGTTTGGTGAGAGGAAAACAGAATGACATTAATCTTCTTAATGATAGCAAAATTAAAAAAAAAGTGGAAATTCAGACCATCCATGAGTTTATAGGCAAACACAGTAGACATATTTATAAGACCGGATTTAACAAAAGTAGGAAGTTACCGCCTGGAAAATGTTGTTTGTTGCCAAGATCAGGATTTTAAGGCAAGGGAAGTTTATTTGTATAGCACCTTTCAATAGCGAGGCAGTTAAGGCAGTTAAGGCGAGGCATTAAATGGTAGAAATACTCTATTCACGTAACAAAGTAATCTACCAGGAACGTGCACTCACAACAAAGAGCCTTGCTGTAAGGGCTAAAGTCGGTCTTAATGTGGCCTAAGAAGTAGAAGTAGTGGTTTGACCTTGCCTAAATGTCTTCCTTAAACCTTGAAATAAGCTCACACACACACTTCACCACTCACCTACGTTTTTATGCTGTCCATGAAACAACATTATACACATTGTTTGAGAAGCACGTCTTCCTTTAAACAAACTGATCAGGTAAATTGAGCTGAAAAACCCCTAGTTAATAATATTTCCCCCCATATTTGTATGAATGAGTGGAAAAATTAATAAGGGATTTAATAAAGTGAAAAAGAAAGTTGTCAAAATGAATGTAAATTTCCCTGAGTTGTATAGTTGCGTTTTAACAAAACATATTAATAATAGGTTAGAAATTTCCAGGGACAACACCTCGTTGTTACATTAAGTTGTTACTTCACACGGTATGACTCACTTTTAGCTGATGACAATAGAGTGATATTGACTAATAATGGAATTTCTCGTCAGAATAACAAGAACGCAAGAAGACCTTATTAGTCAATATCATTATTGCACCACTGGTCAAAAGTTACATGCTACCATTACCATATTATATACCATATCATATTTTATATATATATATATATCATTATCACTAAATGGGCTACCTCTAGATCTAGAGGTTTTCAAAACTGTGAAGACCGCCTCACCAGGGGGACGTGGGAGAGTTGAAGAGGGGGCACGGAGGGAGAGAGGTGAGGTACAAACCTCAATTGGCGTCACTTTGTACTCCTTTGAGTCATAACTCAGTCAAGTCTATACACAGGCTAAACATAATTTTTAATCTCAAATAAACATCTATAAATCTTCTTAAAACTCATAAATAAAGATTTATGACTCCAGAACTTGCCTGAGAATTATCAAATTTTTACGTTTTCTTTAATATAAAAGTAGTCCAGTGATGGTTGTCTGTACAACCAGGGGTAGACTTTAAACAGGATCTGCTAGTAGCTAATTAGGACTGCTTTTAATGGTGCCAGTTTGCCAAAATGTTAACAACAATGTAGAACTTGATGACGATTCTTATATTTAGGTGATTATACACTAATGAAAACATACATATAAATATTATATTCAATTTTTGACAGTAGATCCTCCTAAATGTTTTGTTTTGTTATTGAGTAAACTGACAATCCCTGACCATGTGATACATATATCATATATATTTAATAGGTTTCTTATTTGAGTCTTTTCTTTTCATTTAGTTCACAAATTAATGAAATGCTGAGCTCTAGGCCTACTGTGCATATTTTTCGTATAGTCCAAATCAAGAAAGGCCTCTAATAATTATTTAGGTGTCCCATTACTGTTTTGTCTTTCTGGTTTTATATTATTACTTACTCATCATGACATTTCCTGCCTTTTCTTCCAACCCCAATATCTACTCTGTGACCTTTTTATGACTCTAAATGGTTCGAATGCAGCTCAAACAATGACCCAGAATGCAACACTCACCACTATGTGCGCTGAGGTGCTTCTTATCAGGCAGTCCATGAAGAGGCCTCTGGCTCCACAGAAGACGCAGTCAAGAACCCCGGGATAGGAAACCTCCTGCTGCTCCTCCTGGTTCACAACTCCTTTCACAAATAACTACAAGAAATTTAAAAAATTGTGTCGTTATTGTATTGTTGTGTTAAAATGTGTTAAACACTGTAGTAGTAGACAGAATCTAAATATCATGTGTCCATTTTGGGGGGGGAAATCATAATATAACATCTGTAAAATAATTCAATTTGAGCATGACAATATTGTGTATACTATACTAACAGTATATACATATATATATA